TGACATGGATCAAAAAGAGAAACCAGGTCCTCTTTGAAAAGAACTCAGAGTGTGAACACAAAAAGGAACAGAGTTCCTTTTCTGTCTGTACACCTTTCGAAAAAAGTGAGGTTTGGTTCTAGTTAAAGGAGAGTATAACAAAAAAATAGCATATTTGAGTTCCTTCTTACAAAAAAAAAAGAAAAAAAAAACAACACACAAAACTTCCTCTTCCTCCCCTGAAGGGGGAGCATGAAACACAAATGTGTCATCAAAGTGGACAGTTCTGGGACTGGACAGTTGTCCTGCCCATCAAAGGGACACATACAAAGACAGAGACAACACTTCACACTCACATTCACACCAATGATTGATTCAGACTGTTCTTTAATCCACACAGACACACAGAGAACGTACCACCACTGTTCATGTTCAGAAATGTTTGCCCACAGCTGTAGAGGTAAGTGACACACTGGGGTCCACACACCAGGGTTTTATCCATACAGACGACAGAAGGTAATAACCTACACTGTGGTCTGGAGTCTGACCCTTGACCTACAGTATTCTTTGCTTTAGGATTTGAACCTTAGCTGACAACCTTTGGGTTCAATCACTGTCACTTATATGTTGTTATTATGACTTCTGAGAGTTTTTACTCTTAAAAACTCAAACTATCTGGAAAGGTCAAGTGAGGAAATACTGAAGGGGGCAGCACTGAGACGCAAATGTACTATACGTTTCCTCCTGATTAGTCTTTGATTTGTTTTCGGAGCTGGACAAACGACCTTTCTAACTTTTATCAGTGTGAGTTTTCTCTTCCTGGTGGTCATCATTAGGAAGTTCCTGTCCGGAAAGTTCCAGACTGTAAAAGACGAGGGTTTGGTCGAGATTTACAAAATTAGTGCAAGTTAGGAAAGTGTTCTATTAAGAATAGCAGTGCGTGTGCGCGCGAGTGCGCCAGCTGGCACGAGTCTCCATGGTAACAAACACAGGTTTCACGAAATCCGTCGGTCGGAGCTTCGGGGCGAGAGGAGGAGGAGGAAG